CACAAATTTCAGACTTTTAACCAATGGGACACTTTATCTAACTAAATTACTTCTTTCAAATAACATATATGCATTCTACTTAGGAAAAAGAATTGGAATTTGTTTTTAAACACTTTACATTTTCACGTGATTTTTTTAATTAAATTTTGCTAGATGTTTCATTTTGTGTCAACTTATAAATTTTATCATCACGCGGGAAAGAAAATCCTTAAGCTATGTACTCGTGAACAATAAAGGTAAAATGATTTAAGAAAATGCCATTTAAAAAACAATGTCAAAAGATGTGAGATTTGACATTGAGTTTTTCACAATTATGATGCTAAAGGTGTCGAAGTTGTAGTTGAAAATTCATCACTATGTCGAGTGCATGTCTTCAAATTAATTATTTTCACAACATCTTGAATCTTTTGCATAATTGGTGTGTGTCATGTCAATTTTATCACTACGCTACATCATAAAGAAAGTATTATGAGTAAGTAGTAGACTTCAATTCTAAAGTTTCATATATTAATAGTAGTGAACATGGGTGGATTTAAGGGAGGATTGGGCTGGCTTTAGCCCAATTCAATTTTTTGAGGTAATTTTCTTTTTCTTTTTTTTTTATAAGTGGAAAAAGCTGTGTAAATTTATTATTATTATTATTATTATTATTATTATTATTATTATTATTATTATTATTATTTTGGTTATAGATTACTACAGCTTAAATTTTTTTTTAGTCTGATCCTAAATCTACCCCCAATAATGAATATTCATAGTCTTTTCCAATATTCAATTGATCGTATAGAAAGGCGCTTACTTGATGCCTATACGACGGAGCAAACAACCAACAATAACTACTATATTTGACTTTGTCCAGCGGAATTAACTATGTTAGAAGTAGAGAATAAGAATATTTTAGCTCACGATTTGAAATATTGAATACGTTAGGTAGCTTATTGGACTCATAAGCAAGAAGTCATAGAACATGATGCATTTTAATTTAAAGATATCATAACATTTATTTTACCATTTTTATTTTTAGGGTGACACATAAGTATTATGTGAGATCAATTATAGTATGACGGTCAACTAAGCAAATTCTATAAACTTGAGAAGAGTCAATGACCAAGTGTAATTGAATGGTAAATTTTAAAATGAAATTGAAATTCAATTACTACATCCTGGTAGAATTTAAAATGAAATTGAAATTCAACTGCATAAGTTCAAATCACGTGTGAAATTCACCCTTATAAATATACATATTTGGCTTTTTTAGTGTAAATTTAAAAAAAAAAAAAAGGAAAAAAAAAAGAAGAGATATCTTACTTAGCTCTTGTTTGATTCCCATTATTTTAAAAATACATTTTTCTCTCTATTTTTTTCAACCACGCATTCTTCAATAATATAATATTATACCCAAATTCAAAAATTTTCTTATTTTTTAAATACACATTGATCATCAATTTATTATTGCAAAATACATTTTTGAATAAAAATGTGACTCAAACATGATTTTATTTTCAAATTTACTTACTTATTTATAATTTACTTACTTATTTATAAATAATTACTTGAGATTTAAATGTAGATGCTCTAATGATATTGTTTAGCATTTTTTTTTATCCCTTTTACAATCTCGTATTTCAATATTATGTGCCTGTTTGAGCCCCAATGCATTTTGGAATAATAAATTGATGAAAATGTGTGATTAAAAAATAAATAAATATTTTGAATTTGTGTATAGTATTAATTTTTATTGAAGAATGTGTGATTAAAAAAAGAGAGGCAAAAATATATTTTGAAAATAATGGGGATCAAACAAGAATTCAGTCATAGAAGAAGGTTGGTTCACATGTATATCTACTATTCCCAAATCAAATTTTATTTTTATTTTTTTAATAAATAGAGAATAAGAATGATTCTTTAATTTTTTAAACACGTTGTTTAAGTTTTCACAATTCTTTTATTTTCTTTAGTTGGTTTCTAAAAAAGTTAATAATACGTTTATAGAACATTGTTTTGTATCATTTTCTCATTGTTTCTGATGGAAATATTGTTCAAAATCAATAAAAAAAATATCGAGTATGGAATGAAATGGTGATGATGGCCTGAAATGTTGTCTATGCGACAGCATGAGCAAAGCAGCCATGCGGTTGGATGGATACTTGTAGAAATAATGCTGCCCAGTTTGTGGTAAAACTGTGCAACCGCATAGTGTTGAACTATGCGGTTGCATAGAGGATGGAATTAGTCATTGGAGGCGATTTTTTATTCTAATTTGGCGACTTTTCACCTATACTTTGACATCACTTCGTATAGCATTGTTTTATGGCTATAAATAAGTGGTTGATGATCATTCTAACATTAAGAAAAATACTTGATTACATTTGTGATCATTCTTCATTCCAAAAAGAAGAAATGAAAGACTTCATCCATATTCAAAATTTTCTTCGTGTTCTTCAAGTTTTGGAAGATTGCACTTATGATTTGGTGCTAAATCCTTTACAAGACTTCTTATAATCCTATAAATATTTGTCAAAAACCTTTAAACATCTCATTCAATCTGAAGAAAAGACAAATATCGTTTGAGGCAAGGGCGGAACCAAGAATTAATGCTACATGGAGCAAAATATATTAAAAATTTTAATGTATTAAAGCAAAACACCAAATTACCACAATACAAATGTTTCATATAATGTTAACATCCAAATTCGAACAAAACACATTTCAAAATAAAGTTAAACATCGAATTGATTTGCACGAAGATTTGATGGTCGTTGAGGTGTTTCTAGTGTAAAGTTAGAAGGATTCATAGTTTAGAGTTAGGAATAAGCAAGATTCTGGAATTTTTTGATTGAATGTTTGATTGAAGAAAATACATTTTTTTATATAGAGTTGTGCTATTCGTACAGACCCATTTGCACAGGGTCTGTACAGATGACAGACCCTGTGCAAATGGATTTGTGCAGGAGGTTTATTTCTTTTGTATAGGAAGATGAAATTGTTATTTATGTAAAGAGTTTTTTGGTGTCGTTTTTGTACATGAAGATAAAATTGTTATTTATGTAAAGAGTTTTCTGGTGCTAAAATTTTGAAAAAGGAAGCTAATTCGTCCATTGCAATTCCAAGAGTTAACCCATTAAAGAAGAATCTTAAAATCTGGAATAAATTATGGAAAAAGAAACTAAAACGTCAAAACGCAATTATTCACATAAATTGGCAGCTTGATTTCTGTACCATTTATTTACCATAATATTGATTCCCGATTTCAATTGTTAATCTTGACTAGTAAGTAAATATTCTATAAATAATATTTTGTTTCCCAATTAAGTTATTCAATGGGCTCCCCAAAAATCCATTTAACATATACCCAAAACCGATCATCTTCTCCAACTCTCATCTTCTCCTCTCTGCAAAATTCTGTTAATGTTGCTGCCATACTCCATTGCTCCATGAATTTCAGTATATTACCATCACAAGAATCGAAACAAATGGGGTTGCTACCGCCACAAACACAAGCTAGAAGCAATACTCCACCGCCCATTGTCTTCTCCATTTTCCAGTCATGTTTGAGTTCCACCACAAGAATTCGACCCATATCCCGTGTCAGTATTCGTATCATGTCGTGTCAACATGAATGCTTCTCATTTTTGGAGAGTCCGAGCATCATAAATGTTACCCATCTAAAATAACACCACCATTACCAGAAAACACAACATATATGTGATCCATTTGAAACAACTCCACACAATTCTGCATCAACTATGCCAATGCAAAACAAAAGTAATGCGTTATGTTACTTGTCTAAAATCACTCCACATTATTGTCGCCACCATCGCCACAAATACACGAGTAACAATTTTGTTATTGTATGAAACAATGACACCACCAAAAGACACAAGTAATATATTTTTTACCTGATTGAAACAACTCCACACAACTGTCTACTGACACTGCTGCCACAAAACACTAATAACAAAATATGTTACTTTCTCAAAACGACACCATATAATTCTATGTCATCACCACCACCACAAAACACAATTAAGATAATGTTACTCGTGTGAAACAACACTACTACCTAAAAATATGAGTAACATATATGATACCCATTCGAAACAACTCCACATCACTATCTACCAATACTGCCACCACAAACACGAGTAACATATTATGCTATTTATATAAAATCACTTTACACCATTGAGAGATTATTTATGTACCTATACCTACTACATAAATGGTAAGAGTGTTTGTCATTATTGCCTTAAGTAAAATATGGTTCTGTCAGTGTAGATTTCCCCTACGAATGTAAAGGAGAGCTTTAGGTTCAGAGTAACCTTCAGTAGGGTAAAAATTTAGGGAAAGGACAAAAAAAAATATTGCTAGTCTCTAGAATCAATATCTGAAAGCAAAATTGGGAGGAAATCAAACAGTGAAGCACAGTAAAAGCATTAACATTATGAAATTTAAAGCTAATGCAACTAAGTCTCTATTTGAGTCTCTTTTTTGTAATATATTTTGGAAAAAACGATTTTAGTGAAGAACGTGTGGTTAAAAAGAAAGAAAAAATTTTAAGTTTAAATGTAAAATTATTTTATTGGGAGAATGTATAGTTGAAGATGATTTTAAGAAAAATTGATATTTAACAAATGAGACTCAAATGGGGGCTAAATGTGAAAGAATGATATCATAGTTGATAATTACTATGGGTGTGCATTAAATTAAAATTAAGAAAAATGATTAGTAAAACACCAAGGGGCAACAAGAAAAAAAAAAGAAAAAAAAAGAGAGAAAAGGGAACCACAAGAAAAATTTAGATTTACATATTTAAGGACAAGTAAAGAAATGCTCTCATGTGCAATTCACAATTTCTTACCTTACAATGGTAAAAGAGAATCACAATGAATTCTTGTTTAGAAGACTTAATGCAAAAAATTGCAATATAACAATCAAATTACAAGATTAAAAAATATGTTAAGCGTTAGAATTAAGAAAACAAACAAAAAGTTCGAGGGATGCCGCAAAATCATCCGGGTGGAATCACGATGTTTAAAGAAGGCAATAGTGACAGCGTGAGAAGTGGTCGTGGTGGAGGGAGGAGGAGGAAGTATGTGGTACCGGTCTTAGGGTTTAATGGAGAGAAGAGAGAGACACGGTGGTGAGAAAAAAATATTGATTAGGTTCTTAATTAAATTAAATAGGATAAATATAATTAAGTTATAATTAAATTAAGGTAAATAATATAATTTATATATGGAAAATTTTCATAAATGTCACTAAATTTGAAAATGCATAAAAAAAAAAAATCATTTGCACTAAAGATTGTCAAAAATGTAACTTCTCGGTGTGAAATGTCCATATTACCCTTAGTGACACCCTTTTAGGAGCATTTAATACTTGATTTGAATGTCATTAATATTGTGATGTGATAATTTGTTTTGTATATTATGAAGATTGGAGATATGATTATATATTGGATAATATGAATTTTGATTAAAAAAGAATTTGAAAAGTTAAAAGAAAAAACATATAACTTCTTACCATTCACAAATCCTAACTTCTTATCCTTTTTCTTGATTCATCATCAAGAAGACATTACTATTATATTCATTATCCACTTTCAAAGGTTAGCTATTAGTAATTATTTATATTTTCATCTTATAGCTTACTATTTTAAATATTAAATACAACATGGTCCATTTATTTAAAAATTTTGAAATTCTTATTAATTGATTTGTTTGATTTTTCAAATATTTTTGAAGGGAAAGGATACCAACATGCTTTAAAAAAATGTGAAGAATTTCATGTTTAATGAAGCATTGAGTTATTCCTTATTTATTTTTGAAAAGATGTTGTGATGTTACAGTTGAGAATTGATTATCGCCATTAATATTTTCAATAATTTCTTCCAAGCTACCAAACACATGTTTTTGAAGCTTCCCAAGAAATTGTGGTATTTCAATTGTCGAATAATATTTTCGAAACCATCAAGTTAGACATCTAAACTGGCGAACTCGACCTTTACAAACTGTCGGAATAAACAATTTAACTATCGAATTTGATACTTGAAAACTGTTAGAACCCTAGATTTCCCTTTCTGCTACTACATGGATTTAAATATTCGAAAGTTCCACTTTTATGGTATTAAATGTTGATATATAGATTGTGTAGAATTCTTACCTTTGCAATTCCAACATTTTAGATATGAGTAATCGTTTGAGATTTATCGTGTCGCATAAGAGAAAGTTTGTTCATGTGAATGACAAATGGAATTGGAGAGGGGATAAAATCACTTCCATTTTAGTGCCGAGAAGCATTACCATAGCTAGACTTGTGTTACAGTTGAAGGACAAACTTGGTATTGTTGAGCCTCGCACTAAATTGAATTAAAGTTTAAAGTCTCGAACTTGAATATATCTCCAGTCAAAATACTCGAAGATGAAGACTTAAACTGGAACATATCTGTTCATAAGGAAACTGTACTCTGGATTACTATTTTGGAAATTGAGCTCCCAAATATTGACATAGGGAGGGATACAAATTTCCATGATCGTTCTTTTGCTACAGTGGATGTTCACTAAAATGTACAATATGATGAGCTCAATCATCGATATAATGTATCAAACAATAATTTACCCGAACATCCAATTATTGATATTGAGGCTGCACCATTAGATGAGAACTTAGACAACCCATTACATGGTACAGAGGGTGCTAATATTGTCGACGTTGACGAGCAAATGTCATCACATTCAGTACTTTGGGTAGAAATTAATGGATTACAGCTGTAAATACATATGATGTTACCAAAAAGCAAATATTCTTCAACAAGAAAGAGTTGTCCTCGAAGATTCATGTACTTGCATACAAGACAAGTTCCAATTTTAAGTCAATAGGTCAAGCATGAAAATCTTAACCATTGCATGAGCGAACGATAATTGCAATTGGATACTATGTGCTTCGACTGCGAAGCAATCTGCAATTTTCATGATACGTAAATTCAAAAATGTGCACACTTGTTTCATTGATTTTTATCATAACGCACATCGACCTGCCACTAGTTCTGTAATTGTCGAGCACATTTTAGGAAAATTGGATAATCCATATCTATCTTATTACAGTATTGCTATTGCACGTGTCATGGAACATAAGTTTGGTGTGAAAATTAGTTACAGCAAATTGAATTTGAAAGACAGTTGGTGTGATGGTTTAAGGTCTAAGCGTACTGTTATCCACTAACTTTGTCCATAATTTATGAAAATTTTAAATCTGAACTCATGCGTACCATTTTCTTTTTAATTTGCTTGCATGTAGTTGTTGGTATTCAATTTTCCTTACTACTGTTGTCTCTTAATTGTGGCTTGGCCCTCAATTCTTACGAATCAACACCTTTATTAATGGCATGAAATTGGATACTTCTATGTTCTTTTAATTGAATGATCCAATGAATATGAGAAATGAGTGTCATGAACACGGATGGCAACAACATTAAGTTGATGAACATTCTATAGCACTTAAAATCTCGTATTCAACCAGGCTCCAAGTACACACAAAAACATCACACCTAACGGATCATCAACTTATACAGACTTTCAAATTGACGTAGCCATATCCTGATAATTACGATTTGCAAAATCCATGCATCATTCATTACTTAGGAACACATATAAATCTGGTGATTTATTACATTACAACATTCCAAGTAAAAACTAGTAGCACAGCTTGAACACTGCGGATAACATTGCCAACATATGTAAAACATAGATACGAGGTAAAATATGTTAAAAGAGTGTCCATAGGCCTCGCATTTAAATTCAACAATTGCATCGAAATTTTGAAGTTAATTTAACAATAATTCCCATGCATCCAAAATTCAGAAATTGCACCAACGGAAAGATTATACATTAATGGAAAAAAGGTTAGTACATGCATCCCCAATCAATATGCATACTTGTAATGCATTCTCCATTGCATCTTTGTACAGGTTATAGTTGTTTCACTACACAAGGGAATGTTTCCACCTAATAGCATTTTTATAAATGTAAGCGCAAGATGCTTTACTTTCACAAGCCCATGCTTCATAATTTGCTAAATCACGTATAAATGTTATAATTTAGCCCTAAGATGAAGGCATCGGATAGCAAAGTGAAGAAGTGCATTACAGTTAACCTTATGTGCAATGGCCATCTGGTCAAAGTTGACATGGAAGTCGATTCATGCAATCTGTTGTAATTCTCCTCCTCCACACGATCTCATTAAGAGCTCATCCATAGCACACACATTCTTGCTCTTAACAAGACGCAGGTTTCGAGCCTGAATGAAATTTTAGCACAAATTAAATTACTAAAGCATGCATTTTTAATTTGACAAGGTAGATAAACCATTCAAACGGTAGTGATAACCTCGTCATTATCACAACAAACATGAGTGTGCTCAAAGTGAAAGGCTAGAATGTTCAGCACAACACTAACGATATCAATGTGCTCTTGCAATTAGAAATGCACTACCTCATAATATAACTCTACGTTAGCAAATTTTACAATAATATATTTGTATTGCAAGTGATCCCAACTTTCGGGGAATGATTCATGACAGTGATGACAGCCTTATCACACGAAGACTATGTAAGTGATTACACTGTATGACATAACAATTTTTACAAAGAAAGTAGGCATTAACAAATAAAGACGAATTGCTTGACAAACAATCGAGCATGAACATTGTCATTCATGTATTTTCTATAAATGTCGCCTAAAGTTACCCCCGATTTTTTTAAGAAAATAACATTCAAAACTTCAGGGTGAGAATAATCATCAAATCAAAGTTATCATCCATGAACCGAGGAAAAATGTAAAACAAAATGAATCCAGGTAAGCTTGACTTCATATTAAATAGTATGACTATAACGGAAAAGAGTTGTTATGGATTGATACTAAAGAATAGAACTTTGTACTCATTATTTGTAAAAGCAGTACATGTAGTTATTCATAATTAAAAACTCACTTATTTTTTTACTCTCTTCCTCAATTTCCTGGTTTATGGAGTCCTAGTAGATGCTGCAGGAACTTGAAGGCATGTTGATCGTCGCCTCTTTGATCATCTCGACGGATGACTCAACTTATCTATTGAGATTTACATATTTGTCGAGAATTACTGCAGTGAACTGTCGGGAACTACAGTTCAATACAATGTCATTTCTCTACTAAAATGAACTGTCGGGAAACCTATTTTTGGCCTCTAAGTAAAAAGGTATTATTCAAGATCTACTTACTCCATAATCAAGCAGACAGAAGCATTAAAACCACAAATATGTCAAAGTATTTATCAAGATTTTCTCCCAAATACATAAAAGACACAATGTGAAAAATACGAGTACCACCACACTACAACTTATGGACTTGCAAGTGAAAGCAACATTATTTTTCACTCCATATTCAAGCAGACAAAAGCATTAAAACCACATACATATCAAGTATTTTTCAAGATTTCCACCCAAATGCATAAGAAACACAATGTGAAATGTGCGAGTAATGCCAAACAACATATGGACTTGCAATTGAAAGCAAGATTATTTCTTATTCCATATTCATAGACACGTAAAGTATTTTTCAAGATTTTCACCCAAATGCATAAGAGACACAATGTGAAATATACGAATAACACCAAACAACTTATGGACTTGCAATAAAAGCAAGATTATTTCCAATTAAACTAGTAACAAGCACCATATTGTTTCGATTTCAAGCAATGTTCTACGTTTTTGTTTTCAAGTTTAAAGCATGAAATGAACTTGAAAGCTGAGTTTAACAAATCAAACTGAAGGAGATCTCAATAACTGATTGAAAGTATGCATAGTAATTTCCTACCATAAGTTGAAAAGTTGAAGTACGTTCAGTGAGGTTTCATGTAGTAATTGAAATATAATAAATTATCTAATAATTTCCTACCATAGCATGTTTTCTTCCCTATTGTAAACTTCAGCCCGTCGTGTTAACATATAAGGCTGAAATGTCACCTTTACCACTCAAGGAAAGCCAAGTACTATAACTATTCTTACCAGTTTTTTCGAACTCAATTATATCTAATAAGATAGATCAAACCATATAAATGATAA